ATTGTCGTCGCCGGATTTTTTGTTTTTCATTTAAATTAAAAAAAGTATTTTTTCCTGATATCGTGGCGGATTCGCCAGGCTTCAACTAGTAATATATAATTTGCAATATTAACTATATGTCGAATGCGTCTCAAAAGTGTCTCACCCCCTATAAGTTTTTTATTTTTTCAGATAAAAAAAACGAGATTTTTTATGTTAGTATATAACATAAATTAGGATTGATTGACGTATTCATTTGTTTTTGGTCACTTCCTGTTTCACCGAAAATAACTACAACTTTTGATTTTTAAATGGTCCCTCGGTATTTTTAAACGGTTTTATTTAGCTCGACCCGTACGGTATTTATTTATTTGTTTGTTTATTTGGGTCAAAATTGGAAATTGAAATTTAAGTACCTTCCTGTTGTCAGATTGATCTGAAATTTGGTACACACCTTTAGTTCCGATGACAATACAATATAGTAATATCAATAACATTGTAAATCTAAGATGGCCGCCGGTACAAAATGGCGGATTTCATATTTTCCACAACCCCTCAATATGGGTATCAAATGAAAGGGCTACACTAGTAGAATACTGTGATTATGACAAAATTTAAAATCCAAGATGGACGTCGTTATAAAATGGCGTATTAGGTGAGGGCATGAGTAGTCGTGTCCAGAACAGTTGTGTTCAAGATTGTGTGATGTTAGAAGGACAGATAAAAAAATAGGTGATTAGATGTACCTACGTAGTTAGCGGTAGCTTTACCACCCAAGTTAAGGTAATAGGTTAAAACGTGCTGAGGACTGTAGGTCATTAGGGTGGCTAAAATGTAATGTCGCAAGCGTTTTCCCCTCAAGATTGGGCGCCTCTTGTTGTATATTATAGCCTTGCCCCTCTACTGGACCTCTGGGGGGGTCGACCGTTAAAATGTCCATTACTCGTGGGAACAACATGGAAACAATAAATAAAAAAACAAACAAAAATAAAAACGAAACTGCTACACAACGAAAAAGAAGGCTCGAAAAGGCGAAAGAATAGTATAGAACGAAACGTGCAAAAGAAAGTGAAAATGAAACCTATAGTCGACTACAGAAACGAAGAGAACGGTTAGCAACAGAAACACCTGAGCGTCATGAGTCCAGGCTAGCATCACAACGTGATAGACAGAGAGAGTTGTTAGCGGCAGAAACACCTGAGCGTCATGAGTCTAGGCTGGCATCACAACGAGAGAGACAAAGAGAGTTGTTAGCGTCAGAAACACCTGAGCGTCACGAGTCTAGGCTAGCATCAGAACGCGACAGACAGAGAGAGTTGTTAGCGTCAGAAACACCTGAGCGTCAGATTGTAATAAATTATCAGGTAAAAAACCATGTAATAATGATGCACTAAATGATTTAAATAGAATGAGGAATATTCGGTAGGCATTTCCGTTAAATACTAAAAACTAGAAAATAAAAAATCGGTAAAAAAACTTTTAAGTTAAACGGTTTTATCTTATGTGCACTGAAAACTAGAAAATAATAATAACAATTATGTATTTTGAACTTCTAGCTCAGAAATATTTTAGTACTAGGCAGAATATAGCTTTTAGACATATTAGACTAAAATAAAAACGTGGGGCCTATTAACTATTGCTGTAATACTTTCTTCTATACTAAGTGTGGATTGCATCGACTTACTATAATCGTAACTGGAGATTTTGACAATCAATAACCAGCCGTGGCGGCTTCACCATCGAACGCCGAGCTCATGATCTACCAAAGTATAAAGATATGCTTTGCCATAGGTAGGAGTTCAGAGGGGCCCCACGTTTTTATTTTAGTCTAATATGCCTAAAAGCTATTCTGCCTAGTACTAAAATATTTCTGAACTAGAAGTTCAAAATACCTAATTGTTATTATTATTTTCTAGTTTTCAGTGCACATAAGATAAAACCGTTTAACTTAAAAGTTTTTTTACCGATTTTTATTTTACTTTATTCGATAGAAAATGACACTCTGAATAGAATGACATCAGCATATCATATGTCAACTTTTGACTTTTTCGAATATGGTTTATTCGAAATTGTAACATGTGGTCTCCATAACGACAATTTGAGTCGAAACACCAAGTATGTGGTGTGGTATCAAATTATTCGTAAAGAAATGCTTTTTCCAAATGTGCTAATGAGCCACCCTCTATCCATTTGAAAAAAATGAGATATGGTTAAAGATACGATTTGGGCATCTTTTAACAGGTCAGGACCAAGACATTAAAAACATTCTACGATCAAATCTATTTATCCAAGGTTTCTTGATTAAAAATTAGTGTTTTTAACATAGCCATGGCACTCTAGATTGAAACTTAAAATACAATTTTTTATTAAGCGAGAATGTCAAAAGATGACATATGATATGGCATTCTATTTAGAATGTTATTTTATATCAAATAAAGTGAAAAAAATACCGAGGATTTATAAATCAAAAGTTGTAGCCATTTCCGGTGAAACAGGAAGAGACCGAAAACAATTGAATACGTCAGTCAGTTCTAATTTATATCATATACTAACATATCAATTATCGTTTTTTTATCTGAAAAAATAAAAAAGTTAAAGGGGTGAGCCACTTTTGAGACGCACCCAGTTGAACTAAAATTTCGTTATAGCCGAAATTGACACAATTATGACCCCACTTGCAAAACCGGTGCGTAAAACTATGCTCGCTACCTGAGTTGAACTCATCTAAAAAGTGTTTTTAGCTGGAATAATAAATTATAATACAAGTTAGACCCTTCTGAAGATATCAAAATTACTTTTTTATTGTTATTTTTAGAATTTTCAGAAATTACTTCCTAACACTTTTGAAATAATTATTCCGTAACCGTAGATGGAGTTAAAACCAAACTATATATTTCTATATAAAAAAAAACGTTTTTTTCTTTTAAATTAAGTTTACACACCTTCCTAATTACTTAATGAAACGCCACTGCCTCTACAGAAATATTAAGCGTTAAATTAAAAGTGAACAATAATTTTCCCTTTTAAGTGTACCATTTTCCGAAACTATTCTTTCAGGGCGCCGAGGAGAACGTTTTTGCTTCATAAATCACCCCGGCAATAATTTACACCCTCCATTGTTTTATTTTGTTATGATTTAAATTTTCTTTTGCTGTTGTGACGTGATTAATGACTGGATTACAATATTTACCACCCGTTGTCTGCTGTTGTGAAGTTCGCTATTTGTTTAGCTTAATGTTGAATCTTGACAATAAACACTCTATTGTTTTCGAGAAAAAAGCGCCGAAGAAAAATTTGATGTTTTGCCAAAATTACGAAGGGTCTGGATTGATGGCTTGGTGTCGTAATGAGTACTTTTTTATTAATTATCTTTATTATAGAGTAAAAAAATCATGCTACTGTCAAGCAATAAATATATAAATCATGATATATGATATACAGGGTGTATCAGAAATAAGTGCAAGTATTTTAACTGGTAGTATAGTTTACCCCCAGAAACAGGCCTATGAGGTTTTTTCGCGAAAAAAACAAATTTTGAAAATTTGAAATATTTTGAAGAAAATTTTTGGAATTCTTTTATTTTTTAGTCAAAAAACATAATTTCTTGATAATATGGCAACATAGGTATTAGATTATTATATTACTATTAAATTTACAAGAAGGAAAATCCAGAAAAGATCCAGTGGTTCTCAAAATTTTAGCAAAAAATCATTTTTTTGGAATCTGTTATTTTGGACTTATTTGAAAAACGATAAAGAGAAAAAATGTTTCTTTTGTCGAGATCTACCACCGTCCGATTCCGATAAAAAGGTCCGATTAAATTTATATCTCCGAAACTAAAGTTCCAAGAAAAGTCGTAATATATCTACAAATTCATTAACCCACTAGTAGATATAAAAAGCATTTATGGTAAACTCTGTCTCAAATAGTTCAGATTAAATGTATATCTCCGAAACTAAAGTTCCAAGAAAAGTCGTAATATATCCACAAATTCATTTACCCACTAGTAGATATAAAAAGCATTTTTAGTAAACTCTGTCTCAAATAGTTTCTGAAAAATAAATTAATTTTCTTAAAAAGGTCCGATTAAATTTATATCTCCGAAACTAAAATTCCAAGAAAAGTCGTAATATATCTACAAATTCATTTACCCACTAGTAGATATAAAAAGCATTTTTGGTAAACTCTGTCTCAAATAGTTTCTGAAAAATAAAATTAATTTTCTTAAAAAGGTCCGATTAAATTTATATCTCCGAAACTAAAATTCCAAGAAAAGTAATATATCTACAAATTCATTTACCCACTAGTAGATATATATATATTTATGGTAAACTCTGTCTCAAATAGTTTCTGAAAAATAATATTAATTTTCTTATAAAGGTCCGTTTAAATTTATATCTCGAAACTAAAATTCCAAGAAAAGTAAGTAAGGTCCGATATATATATATATATATATATATATATATATATATATATATATATATATATATATATATATATATATATATATATATATATATATATATATATAGATATTTGCACTTATTTCTGGGACACCCTGTATATAGCATGTTTGTTCCTATATGACAGCACAGAGTTTAGATAGATGCAGTAGAATTCTTAAAATAAATTTAACAGTTTTATAAACAGTTTAGAAATATAAATTTTTCTTGTTATCACTGAATTATGAATAACTACGAATCTGTATATTATTTCAAACACCATGAGAAATCTTTCTTCGGCTAAAAATTGTGACTGAACAAAAAATAATCTAGAGTTTTAATTTTTTTGTAATAAACATTTACAAAGCTTTATTATACCTTCTCAGGAAGTGGAATATTGTTGCTAAGGCTTTTATTTTTGGACATTACAAATATTGTATTTTCATTGATATTTTGCCGATTATCTGGAAGTGTTGAGGCTATAATAGGTGATTTAGATGGTCATACTAAACCTATGACACTTTTTATTTGAGATTTCCTAGAATTATTTACAATAATTAAGAAATAAAACAATCACAGTTAATTATTGTTACAATATTTATTTGCTTCTCTGGATCCTACAGGCATTAAATTACCTAAATCCTCGATTAAATCTACTACGTAAAATTTTACTTTTTCGTCAGTATCCAGACCTTCAAATACTGCTACTTCGTTCCAATATATTTTCAGATTACCTTTGACTAAAGAACAAGGTATACTCACTTTATCTGCTAAAGCTTTAAATAGTAAAGCTCTTTCACAGTGAAATCCTAGTCTCAGATAGCCAATTGGAATTATATTGTTTCCTAGTTTGTTTTTTAAGCACTCTATTTGTAATTTGTACTCGTGAATCTTTTGAGGTAATGTTAGGTGTTCTTTTGGACCGCAAAGAAGTGTATCGATATACTCTGCCAGAAATCGACATCTGGTTTGTATGTCCCCTTGAAGATACTTTTCATATTTTTGGATATGGTAAATGTATCTTGGAAGGTATGGATCTGATGAGATTCCTCCATAATTAATATCAAAAGTACCTGAATCGTGGGAAGTTATTGTTAGGTTGCTGTTTTCTGGAGATTTTTTAATTGACGGAGATGATTCAAACGATTTTGAATAACTTTTTGATATGAGCAATGAAGTTTGACTTTTAAGCTCTGGTAAGTTTTCTTTTACAACTTCGAGTGAATAGTCAACGACATATATAGTCTGATAAGGTGATACATGGATATTTTCAAGGACATCTAAAAATGGAAACGGTGCAGTCCAAGGTCCGTTAATCAAATAAAATCTGTTTGGGAGTTTCTCTGTTACTTCCAGTCGACCCATTTCGAAAAATTTGATGGGTAAATAATAACCCAAAGCCATATTTAAGACTTTTTTTATAAGCGGTATTTTGGATTTTAAGAATTCATCAAATTTCCTCAAACTTCTGATTAAGCCACCGTGCAGAAAGGCCATAGCGACGTCCTCATAGACAAGAGAACTGAAAAGAAAGTATAAAATTTGCGTTAATAATTCTACATCTTGACAGTTCTCCATAACATTCAAGAACGTCTTTGGTCCATTTTTTTGTAGGAAACATTTTCTAAAATCTTGTGTAGGTAGTACGCTTGTTAGTATCTCACAGCACAGACTTGAGACAGATGGAGTAGACTCTTTAAACAAAGTTAACAGTTCTACGAATAGTTCAGAAGATATAAACTCTTGTTGATATAACGGATGAACTAGGCATCTATATATTATTTCGAGCACCATGGCAAAACTTTCATCAGCTATTAGTTTTGATTTGACTAAGAAATAATTTAGAAGTATAGGCTTGAATTCTTTTGCCATAAAAATCTCTATAGCTCGATTATACCGTCTTATAAAATGGAATATTGTTTTTAGGGCAATTTCATTATATGGATCCTCTTCGTCATTCTGTCGATTTAGGATATCCAAAAGTGTGGAGGCTATAACAGGTGTTAGCATTTGTTCACAACAGTATTTGTGGGTAGTTAAATTTGAGACAGTCTGGCATGTTTTGTTAATAACGAATTTATTGGAGTATCTAAAAAAGTATAAAACTGATTCTTCAACGGACAGATCAAAAAGCATCTGCTTAATTTCGGGTACGCTTGACAGCTTTAGAAAAACTTCAATAAGAGGAGTAAGATACTTTGGATGGCAGGTTTTTATCCATTGACATAGTTCTAAAAATTCTATTGACTCGATGAAATAAGTGCTAGTTTCTTCGCTTTGTATACAGTTAAGTAAGATTTGTATTGCTTTTTCATGCTGTTCTTCACGACTGTCCCTCATGATAATCGCTAAAAGTTTTTCAACTAAATGTACTGTTTTAAAACCATCTTGTAGAAACGATAATTTAAAACTAGTAATCTTTTCTAAAATATCTAACACTAAATTAGATATTTTAATATCTTCGTTGTTGATGTGATTCAGAATAGTACTAGGGTCATAGTTGTTGCATTCAGGAACAGCACTTATCGCTGCTGGTATATCCATTAATCGAAAAAACAGTAACAATGTGTAATATTGTACCGTCGAATTCTTAGAAAATTTGATATTCTCCAAAACAGGACTTAGAAGATCTATTTTGAATATAAGAACGGCTATGCGAGGCATAGCTGCAATCTTTGATAAAATCTCTATACAGTACTGTCTAACATGGACATCTTTGTGGTCGATGAACATATCGGTTATTTGAAGGAAAGTTTCATCGTATATTTCTTGATCAATTTCATTTAGAGCCTCTTCAAAATTTAGGACTTCAGTAAACAACCGCAAAGAAAGTCTCAAAATGCAGATATTCTTTGATAAGTTCTGTGTTAATTTCGGTATTAATCCCTTTTTAATCAGAAACACTGAATTGTTTTTATTAAGATCGGCATATTTTGATATAAATAGAAGGGCTTCTAGAACTATATCGACTTCTGGAGAATCAAGTATAGTTATGGATGTTTCTACTTGCTTTGTATTATATAGTTTTTCTTTGATTTCGGTCTGCTTAGATTTGTCTAGTTTACTGGCTATCGCTTTGTCTCCTTTTTCTGCTTTATCCGCTTTGCCTACTTGTATTGACATTTTAAATGAATATACTTAATATTTTTAGCAACAACAGTTTACTCAAAGAGTTTACTGAAGTAAATCTGTCATGTTTTTGACATATTATTGTTTTCTGTATTAAGGTTATCTTTTAGGTTATATATTTTTGTTCGTGAGTCAGTGGCGCCGCATGGTTTTATTTTAAAAAATAGAATCAATATTTCGATATTTTAGGAGAAAATTTATATATTTTGGAGAACATATAACATTTAGTGCCTTAAATTAATCGTTAATCTGCATTTTAATTAGATCAAATATAGGTCTTTACTGTATTAATCGAAGTAAAGTGTTTGAGACACCGAGATAAGTTTCTGAAATTGACGCACGTCTAGTTCTAGACGAGAAATTTATTCGATATTAAATTATTTAAGAAAATAAGGGCATTTCTGTTGAAAGCGGCGGATAACTGTAATTTTTCGATTTAAATCCGCCGGTCGCTCAAAATTGGCGGTTTTAAAGCCAACTAATTCCGAACTCATTCTGGAGAAGATTAAACTTCCTTTTTAATAAAATGTGCTTTCCTAATAAGCTTTTGACTCAGCCCTTTCCGTTTAAAGTATTAATATAGTTTACTTATTTCCATAATTCGAAAATTAAATTGCCTTTTTTCAAGTCGTTCGTAGTCGTTATTTTATTGAAAAGTCAATTAGTAGTTTTAAGTTAAAAAGCTAATAGAGTAATGTCAAGGGAACTTCTAATCATTGAAAAATGGCTTATAAAATAATAAAATTTAAATCTAAAAAATATAACAGCCGTTTAAATAAACAGGGTGTTTAAGAAAACATAGGTCCGATTCTGCTTTGTTTCGTAGCTACAGGGTGTTAAAGTGTTGATATTTTTTCGATTTATTATACGTTTCTTCCAATTACTTTTAGCATTTCGAATGAAATTTTGAGGGTAAAATTTACTATATTTATATTCTATATAAGACATATATAGAATATAAGACATTATATTTTCTATAAGACATATTTTAATTCTAAAAAAGTATCGACATATTCACCAGGGACGTGCATGTGGGTTATCACTGGAATATTTTTCTAAAAAAAGCATGTACGTCACTGACCTTTTTTCTCTTGTTAGCGAAATAGTATAAGTAATTTAATGTCGATTAAAAGTTGTGTCTTGAGATTTTATCGATTTCAGCCTCCTTGATAAGATAAACGCAATTTTATTAACTTGCCTTGATCCAAGTCTAACAACAACCTTAAAAAAATAATATCATTATCTTGCGAAAGTTTTAAATAAGTGCTTATTGATTCCTCATCAAAAGACATGAAAATAGTTCCTATAAACCTGGGTATAAAAATGCATAGTTTTAGACTTACAGGATGTTAAAACTGTAATAATATTTAATAATAAATCATTTTGTGTTTATATCTGGTTTCTATATCTTCATTCTACAAGCAAAACACAATAAGTTGAAAAAAGAAGAAATTTCAATGCATTTTTTTTCAACAGATATAAAGCTTTTACAGACTTAATGGATATGAAAACAATTTATAAATGAAACTATAAGTCTTATTCTGGAAGAAATCTGGAAGAAGTCGAACATGAAAAAAACTCGGACGTAGTATGTTTTACATGTAGCTTGATGATTATTTGATATTATTATTCAAAAACGGGGTGACTCTATTTTAAGCCTATAAATATTTAACAACTAAAGAAGGAAATTATGCTAATTACTCCAAAAATAATGAATGGGGGTAAAATTAAGCACAAAAAGCATATGAAAACGCTTAGACCCAGCTTTATAATTTAATTTAAACATGAAGTTATATAGTAAACGAGTTTTAGTTAGGTATTTATAAGTTTTGTTGTTACTTTAAATTGTCGTTTTAGTCCAGTGGACTCTGCTATATTTATTCGTTTAACTTTGGTAGTAAATATAACAATAAGACTAGTTTAGTTTTACAAATTCGTAGTTAATTTATTATTAAGAATTATTTATATCTTATATAATAATTGTACAGGGTGAGTCAACGATAGAGTAAAGTCCATTATCTCATTTGTTTAGAGGTTTACAAAAAAATATTAAATATAAAAGTTGTAGAGATGGTTGAGATACCCATTTTAAAATTATTATACAGTATACAGGCTGCTTCAAAAAAGTGTGGCGAATATAACATATGTTTTTTTAAATGCAACACTCTTTTTTATTTCATTTTTAGATTCTGCGTAAAATTTCATAACTTTCTTATATATAATGTTATATACCTAAAATTAGTAGTTTTTGTTATATTTAAATTTGTTTAAACAAATGTTAGATTGCAGTGTGATGAAAAATTGTCATTAATGGCATTGATTCTGAAGTTGGACAACTAAAATTTGGTAGGAGAATTTTATATAGATATAGAAAAAGACCTATGTAAAGATATTTTAGTTAGATGTTACAGGGTGTTCAAAATATATTTATGAATTTCAGCTACTTAAAATCAAGAAATTTCAATTTTTTTAAATGGTACAACCTATATATTATCATTTTTTCTGGTAGATTTTACAAAACTCTTCAACTTTTATTAAGTATGTCATATACCTATTTTTATTACTTTGCGAATTATTCCAATTTTTTCTATTTTTACCCATATTTTTAATACAATTGCGCTATAACATCATAGTCACCATGATAAAAAGTAATAATTATTACAATTTCATGTCTGTTAAGCAAGTTAAGAACAAAATTCGAATTTTAGTTTAATTTGTTGTAATAAGTATAAATGGTAGAGATAATACTTACAGATTTTCTTAAAATGAATTGGTCAATGTGACTGATATACACGGACAAGCCTAGAAAACCACATTTTTTGGTTCAGTACTATATATTATATAGTATTTTGCTAACTACTATAAGAATAGATATATATTATCTAGAAAACATCTTCAGTGTGTAATGGGACGGTTTCGCGGCAGTAGCAATATTGGCTTACCAAATGAGTTATAAACCAGAATTACTACGAGAAAAAACTTTACTGTATGTCGAAGAAAATTTCTATATCAGCAGTCTTCAGCAATTAGGTAATCTAGTATTACTCTAATCTGTGGCTATTCGCCCTGACGAAAAATCCCAAGTGTCATCTTTCATAATATAGAAATACACCAAGAAATTCACTACTGCGATTTAGTTTATTTGAGTAAAGTTAATTAATTTCAACTAATACCAGCAATTGTAACTAATTATAAAGCTATTTGTTAAAGGTAAGTAATAAATAGTTTTGTTTTGTCATGGCAACTATGATTTTATAGGGTAATTGTCTTAAAAATATGGGTAAGAATAGAAAAAATGGGAATAAATCGCAAACTATTAAAAACAGGTGTTTGAGATACTTAATAAAAGTTGAAGAGTTTTGTAAAATCTATCAGAAAAAATGATAATATATCGAGTGTCCCATTTAAAAAAATTGAGATTTTTTAATTTTAAGTAGTTGAAATTCATAAATATATTTTGAACACCCTGTATCATTTAACTAAAATTTCTTTACATATATATTATTTTTCATCTCTATAAAACCCTCCTACGGCAACCACTGACAATTTTTTACCACACCGCAATTTAACATTTGTTTAAATAAATTGAAATATTACAAAAACTATTAATTTTAGGTATATACCATTATATATAAAAAAGTTATGGAATTTTACGCAGAATCTAAAAATAAAATAAAGAATAGGGTGTTGCATTTAAAAAAACATATGTTATAGCCGCCACACTTTTTTGAAGCACCTTGTATACTCTGTAATAATTTTAAAATATGTATCTTTACCATCCCTATAACTTTTATATTAAACATTTTTTTGTAAACCTTGAAACAAATGAGATAATGGACTTTACTCTATCGTTGACTCACCCTGTATATTAGGTATAGTCTGTCCAAAAAGGGACCATGACAGTGACAACTGTATTTGTTACTGTACTTTAATTAAGAGGTAAACTGTATTGTCTGTAACTTTTTGTAAAATAAATGTTGATTAAAATATTTTTTGGACTATATATTTTATTTTTCTTGTGTTTTTTATGTTCATCTTAATTGGGTTTAGGTCTACGTAAATTATTTAAGAGACAGAAGAACATTTTCCGGCAATATAAATTCAAAAAAAATGCCCCGTTTTTACGCTGTTTTTAAATTAGAAAATCTTGTTTGCTCGATATTTTCTTTTAATCTTCCCGCGTCAGATAAATCAGTATAAAATTAAAATACAATTACGTGCCGAGAGCCTTTAATGACCATTTTTTTAGAGAAACCTGAGATTTTGTTTTCTTGATTTAAAAAAATATTTATTTACCTGCTCATTAAATTCTTTCTTTAAGAGTCTATTACGCTGTACTGTTCGGGTCGCTCTCAGGGGTCGGGTGTGTGGCCGAAGGAAATTTATATTATATTTCAGAAATCTGCCTAAGGCTTAAGGCTGCCGATCTTGTCGTGTTAAGCCACGTCCGAAATTCCAAAATCTCGTGCTTTGATTAAGGCTTGATTAAGGTTTGCAGAGCTTCAGCATTTGCGATAAAATAGCGAGCAATTTGTTACAAAACTATATAAATTATACAGGGTTGTTCACCACATACGACACGGAGTATTGTAGCTAAACGATGAGATTTTTACAAATTGTAAGTTTGGGGTTCGTTGAAGGACTATTAGAGCTACAATTTAAAAATATTTTTACAAGATATAGAGTGTCCCTCTAGAGCTACAATTTAAAAATATTTTTACAAGATAGAGTGTCCCAAATAAATAAAAAATATCAAAGTTGTATTTTTTTAAATGGAACACCCTGTATATTATTACATTTTTAGTTTCTACGATTAAAATAAAGGTAAATTTGATTAAGGTTTATTATACTTAAACCTTACCGTTTTTGAAATATTTTCAATTTTGTGAAATTGCAGTAAAATTTTTAAAGCTTCATTTCTCCAAGGGTATCAATGTTTTTAATACTAAATATTTAATGAAGTTTATTTATTGATCAGTTATTGTGTTGCAATAATAAAAATAATACTACCTTATACAGAGTGTCTAAAAATTTATTTTAAATAATTAAATAATTATTACCTTCAAACGGCAATAACTTCTATAATTTAAATGGAATGCCCTGTATATTTTAGGAGAATCAGATGCACAATTAAATTGTCTATCAAATTGTATTATACCATTTTTTACCTATCCCTTCAAGTTTTCGTTGAAAATGCATTTTTTTATAATTTAGACCTCATTTATCAATATATCTATGGAATATTGACATTTTAGATTGTTTTTAAAGCAACAAATGTACAAAATGTACAGACTAGTAATATTATCGTTTTTAGCAAAACGATAATATTACTAGCCCATTTGTATGCAAAAAGAAAACTATTTAAATCTTTATAAAAGAGTATACCATTAATTAAATAAACACCATTATTTCCGCCCATATACTAATTAATGACATACTTAATTGTGTTCGTTAATAAATTATTATAAATAAATGTGGATTTTTGAGTCAGAAATCAATATAATAATAAGTTATCAAATTAAAGTCTTTGTTGTTATAAATAAGCATTTATTAAAAAATGAAATATTATTTTTAAGGTGTTACTTTTTATCACACTGTCTAATGCCCATACAAAATTCAGTTTTTTAGTATTTGGAGCAATTATTATTAATCAACGCAAACAGTCAGTTAATGTAGTTTGAATACTGGAATCATATTAATTGGTCCTCTTTAACAAATATTTAAACAGTTTTTTTATTTTTTAAAGAAATAAACGAATTATATCGACAATATTAGTATCTGTACTCTTTAAAAATTTGGTACATCTTTAAAAATAATCTAAAATGTCAATAGTCCATGGGTATATTGATAAATAAGTTCTAAATTACAAGAAAATGCATTTTCTACGGAAACTTAAAGAGATAGGTAAAAAATGGTATAATATTATTTGATAGACAATTAAATTGTGCATCTGATTCTCGTAAAATATACAGGGCGTTCCATTTAAATTAAACAAGTTATTGCCATTTGAAGCTAATAATTATTTAAAATAAATTTTTAGACACTCTGTATAAGGTAGTATTATTTTTATTATTGCAACACAATAACTGATCAATAAATAAACTTCAGTAATTATTTAGCATTAAAAACTTTGATACCTTTGAAGAAATGAAGCCTTAAAATTTTTACTGCAATTTCACAAAATTGAAAATATTTCAAAAACGGTAAGGTTTAAGTATAATAAATCTTAATCAAATTTACTTTTATTTTAATCGTAGAAACTAAAAATGTAATAATATACAGGGTGTTCCATTTAAAAAAATACAACTTTGATATTTTTTACTTATTTGGGACACTCTGTATCCTGTAAAAATATTTTTAAATTGTAGCTCTAATAGTCCTTCAACGAACCCCAAACTTACAATTTGTAAAAATCTCATCGTTTAGCTACAATACTCCGTGTCGTATGTGGTGAACAACCCTGTATAACTAAGTAATATTTGAGGGGTAGTTTCATCTCGTTGAAATTTGACTTTCGAAAAATCCGTTTGCCAAAAATAAGCTTTTTACGTCAAGCAGTTTAAGCAGAATCGTGGTTAAGAAATTACCAAACTTTTTGGAATTCCCTGTATGATTTTTTAAAAAATTTCAAAATATGTAAAAAAGCCAAATAAATTATGCTTGTCTAAGCGTTTTCCCGAAAGACTAACCGTTTTTTAAATAACAAATATTGTAATATTTGAGTGGCGTTTTCACCCTCTTGGAATTTGAGATTCGAGAAACCCCTCCTTATCGAACCTCTACACCCCACAGTCAATCCGTTTGCCAAAAATCAGCTTTAAACGTCAAGCAGTTTAAGCAGATTCGTGATTACTGAATGGTCATATTTTATGAAACACCCTGTATAAATTTATAAAAAATCTTAAAATATGTAAAACAACAAAATAAAATATACTCGTTTAAGATTTTTTCCGAAAAACTTACCGGTTTTTAAATAAAAAAAATATTTTAATATTTGAGGGATAGTTTCACCCCCTTAGAATTCGAGTTTTGAAAAATCCCTTCTTATCGAACCTCTACACCCTAAAGTCAATCTGTTTTCCAAAAATCAGCTTTTTACGTCAAGCGCTTTAAGCAGGATCGTGATTAATCAATGACCAGCTTTTTCGAAACACCCTGTATGCATTTTTAAAAAATCTTAAAATATGTAAAAAAACAAAATAAAATATACGTGTTTAAGCGTTTTTTCGGAAACTTGACCGTTTTTTAACCGGGTGGTTTCACTCGCTTGGAACTGGAATTTCGAAAAATCCCTTCTTATTGAACCTCTACATTCTAGAATTTAGGAATGAGAATCATAAATATGAAAATCAAAATTGATAAATTCTTTTATTTGACACATGACATAATGGATTGAGTAATTATTATAACTTGACTGCTTATTAAAAAATATTTTGTGCAATCTAGCATAGCTTGACAAAACAAGCTATGCCAATATTGGCAAAAATCTAAACAATTGCGTTTCCAAGACGATAACTATTAAATCGCGAAACTGACTGAAAGTAGTCACTCACGTCTTTACGTTCACTGAAACAATTCGCCGCGAAAAACGGGAAATACCGATGGAGATGTTGGACAAGCACAAGAAAACTGCGAGGAAACAATTCGAAATCTATCTGCAGTATATCCGAAGGTACGCCATTCTGAAAATGGGCTGGGCCGTTCAAAGGGAGTACACGAGCGAGCTGAGCAACATTTGGCACGATATGACAATGAAACTTAACGACTGCGAAGGGCCGATTAGGGATACTTCACACTGGAAAAAAGTAAGTCGATTTTTATTAGAAAAACTTTAAGGTACTCTCTAATTTACGTATAATTGTTGTCGAACAAATTAGTTTTTGATTAATGAAGTTTTGATGATTTATTAACGTTGTTCCACTTGACATATCATTCATTTTGCTATTGAAAATTAAATATTAGAAGGACATTCTAGGAATACTTCACATTGGAAAAAAATAAGTCGATTTTTATTAGAAAAACTTCAAGGTATTTTATTTATTTATGATTTTTTTAAATTTTTTTTTATTTATTTTACGATTGAAAATTAAATACTAGATTTTTTTTTGGAGAAACATTTTATTATTTCAATTATGAAATGATTGAATGAAAAATATGTTTTTTTAGTATTAAATAAGCATACAGGGTGTTTCAAAAAACATGTCCTATCTCTCGTGGGGAGATTCCTCATGCAAAAATAAGATTTATTTTTCATATCAATATAGGACCGATTCTGCTTTGTATCGTAGCTATAGGGTGTTAAATTCTTAATATTTTTTCGATTTATTCTAATTTTCTTCCAAATGCTTTTAGCGATTCCAATGAAATTTTGAGGGTAAAAGTTACTATATAAATGCGACATATTTTAAAGCTAAAAAAGTGTCGACATATTCACCAGGGATGTGCATATGGGTTATTATTGGAATATTTTTCTAAAAGAAGCATGTACGCCACTGACTTTCTTTTCTCTTTTTTCGCGAAATAGTGTAAACAGTTTAAAACCGATTAAAAGTTGTCTCTTGATATTTTGTCGATTTCGTCCTCCTTGATGAGATAAACGCAATTTTATTAATTTACCTGGATTCAAGTCTAATAGCAACCTTTAAAAAATGTTAATATCATTAACTTGCGAAAGCTTTAAATAAGTACTCACTGATTCCTCATCAAAAAATATGAAAAAAAAGTTCTTATAAATATGGGTATGGAAAGGCATAGTTTTATAGTTACAGGATGTTAAAAAATTTTAAAATTAGGTTTTTGTAATTATCTTAAATACCATTAATTATTTATTTTTTATTTGAGGTTGGACTAATAGTAATAATAATTAATAATAATAATATTTAATAACAAATTAGGTAAAATATATAATTTATTAATTATATTTTTATTTTTATTGTGATTAATAAAATTGCGTATATATCATCAAGGAGGCCGAATTCGACAAAATATCAGGAGAATATTTTTTAGTTGGTATTACACAATTGGCGCACATGTTTTTTTTTTTGAAAAATAATCTAGTGATAACCCATATGCACGTCCCTGATAAATTTATCGACACTTTTTCAGCATTAACACTTATAGTAAATTTTACCCTCAAAATTTCATTCGAATCACTAAAAGTACTTGGAAGAAAATTATAATAAATCGAAAGATTATTAAGGATTTAACACCCTGTAGCTACGAAACAAAGCAGAATCGGACCTATGTTGATATGAAAAATAAATTTTATTTTTACGTGAGGAATCTCCCCACGAGAGATAGCACATGTTTTTTGAGACACCCTGTATATTGGCTATTTCTTTAATAGTAAAAATTTACAACATTTTTAATGCAATAATGTTTTGTAAAACAAAAATACATTTTTTACATATACTGGATATTTTCAGGGCTGGTATACTTTGTTTTTTTTTCTCAGGTAAGATTTCGACAGACGATGACAGAAGAAAAGCAGATGACGTCCCATACCAATCTATTTATTTTACTAAAAAAAGTTTCTAATAATTTTTAAGTTATCTATGGATGGGTTTAAATATAAATCCGTCATGCGTCGTGTCTTGTTGTTTTTAACCAGTTTTATTGGTTTATTTAAAAATGACAGATCGTTTTCAATTTTATTGGTTTGACGGAACGATGAACGACAAACGGACGCCGATGCGTATGAACTCGCCTTTAGATTTTTGTCATTTTTGACGCTTGTCAAAGTCTTGCCAAATTATTGGTTATAATTTTGTGTCAACTTTTGTTAAATACCCTGCATTTTGAAAGATGATGCATTTTGATTCGTATTATTACGTGTGTTTTGTGTCTTTTGAAGTCAAGTGGAGGAAAAATCGAGTGAAAATTAACTGTAGGCCCAGAGCACAGTTTATGGTTAATACACGCTGCCCAGGCAGAAAGTCTTATACACCAATGAAGTTGCCATCGATAAAGTTTGTATACCATTTCGTCGTAGATAAGTGCATTTCGTATATAAGGATCAAACTAAACACATACTAAAAACTGGAGTAGCTGTAAAATATCGACATCACACGATAGGTAAATAATGGATTTTAGTACTGGTGCAGAAAAATAATGTCAAAAGGTACTGGTTTAAAAAAATTAAGATTAAAGGTAATTAATCCACCTTTAAGGTATAAAATTTGGTAGGTGTTATTATTAATAAAATAGTTGTTGTATTTACCTATGTTGTTTTATTTATACCTGTGGAATATTACAAATTTGTATTTGTACATAAGTTATATTGATAAATATAATCATAAATGCGGGTAGTTTCATAAAGCTTGAAAGTAAATAATAGTTATTTTTTATATTTTTTTGGTATGTAGTGCCTTGTTCTTGTTTGTTTTGTATTAACACATACCGTTTTTATTAAATAAAATAACTCGATTACATTTTTTCAGTTTTATACAGTTTTTTTCACAATATTTTGAAGTAATCACTTGTCATCTTGTCAATCAAATTTTAAATATATCCTGCTATGCGTTCCAGTTGTACCAACTTATTTCTTTGTAAAATAAAATAAACTACTTTGAATTAAAATGACAGACACATCTATCACTGTCAAGGACCTTCTCGTTGGACAGACTATAGATGTAGAGAAAAAAAAACATAAATATTTTTTCTTTACCGTTTTTCAAATAAGTCAAGTGTAAAATGTCCGAATTATTTTACTTTGAAAAAAAATTGAAGTAAAAAAAATTATTTGGTCTAAATTTTGAGAACAACATAATTTTTATAAATCCAAGTTTTCTGTGTTGCAATGTTATCAAATATATAATTATTTGGGTAAACAGTGTGGTATCTTGTTCCCCTTTTAAACGTTTTTTTTTTACTTTTTTGAAGTAGAAACATTCATTCAACAGAAAATATAAATCATAACGTTTTTAGTCAAGTTCTTTGTTTATTTTAATTATTTAGGGCACAGTTATAGTTTTAGTAAATTAGATTAGCACATTTTTTTGGATTAAATTTTTAATTAAATTAAAACATGACTGAAAACATGATGATTTATAGTTCATATGACAGAATGTGTAATTTTACATACTTTTTTAATATACCGGGTGGTCCGAACTATATTCTGGAAACTTCGACACATAAAAACAAGTAAAAAAAGTTCGCATAAACTTATGTCCAAAAATGCTTCGTTTCGGAGATACAGGGTGTAGAAATTTCATTTTTATTTTGATTTTATCCAAATAATTTCTGAGCTAATGCCGATATTTGGATGAAAATTAGTGTCTGGGTATTTTTTGACATGAAAAATTCGATTTTGGTGTCAGTATCACTCTTACTTGTTGGGGGCGCCACCTACATATTGATCACATCATTATTAAGCTGTTTTGAAGAGTAATAACTTTTCATCCGTACCTATATTACAGTGCCGAGTAAAAAATCTACATTTTCGTAATTTACTACATTAAGAAGGTCTCTTGGTAAAAATCGCGATTAATGGTTTTCAAGATATTTGGAATCGAAATAGTGAATACTGCAATTTGAAATGTTTGTGTGCCAAAGATTTAACAAAACCCGTTTTTTTTATTTTTTATTTACCAAGAGATATTTTTTACGTAAAAATTACGAAAATGTATATTTTTTCACTCGGTAGTGTAATACAGGGACGGACGAAAAGTTATTACTCTTCAAAACAGTTAGAAAAGATGTATTTGGCGCGTAGGAGTAATATTGACATCAAAATAAAATTTTTGATCCAAATACCGAATTTAGTTCAGAAGTTATTGGGAAAAAATCGAAATAAAAATGAAACTTCTACACCCTGTATCTCCGAAAGGAAGCCATTTTAGGATATACAAACTTTTTTACTTATTTTTATGTGCAGAATATGCTGCCGAAGTTTCCGATATACTGTTCGATCCACCCTGTAAATAACTCTAAATGCAAAATAACTTAATTAAATTAAACCATTTTATCACTATATAATTTTATTTATAATCGGCTTTTAAATTATCAATCGTAGATTTTAGCAAATATTTCTATTGGTTATTATATTTGATTATTTACGCATAAAATTATTTAACAGTAATTAGTATACTAATTAATAAACCTAATATATCGAAATACAAATAAATATATAATCTATATAATTAGTGCAATTTTAAATAAATATTTTTTTCTTGTTACCAATATTTTAATCAATTTACCACAATAATTGTGTCATCATCCAGCCCGTAATTTTAAATTTCTAGATTTTTTTTTTATTATTTTTATAAGTTAGTTAGACAATAACCAATAGCACTTTATGCAATTAATGATCAAATTTATTGGTTTTTAGGTGTTTACCGAATGGAAATCTCACACTAGAAGGAAGTTGAAATATAATAGAACTTTAAATGATATTGAGAAAGAATTGATTGATATTACTGGTTTAACAGGGATTCCAGATAAGAGAAGATCGAAATTAGATAGATCCAAAAGGGTAAGATTTATTGAATAAATGAACCTTTTGATAGTTCTGTTTTTTTTGACAGTCTTTTTAATTGACACATTTGAAACTGATTTGATTTTTTTTGGGTTTTATATAGCGCTTTTCAGCTTATTTCAATTTAGTTCTTGCTTATTGGTTTGGTTTGGTTTACTTTGCAGAGTGCGATAGTTTCCAGATAAAAAGAAATATGAAAAATAATATACGTCAAAAAATACGTCAGTTTGACTTAGTTGTTTTAGTAGCCATCTGTATTTGTGCTATTAAACAATTACACATAACCAAACTTATATGGAATCACTCTTTATTTCTGTCTAAATTTTTTCCAAGGAAAAACATTACTATACAGCTTTAACATAAGGCCTTTTGTTGTAATAAAACATGATAATAAAGAACAAACGACTGCTGAATCACGATTGCCCGGTAATTTTCAATCGATCCAAAAAAATATAAAAAATGTCCATGTTGGATGAACAGATGTATAGAGAGGAAGAATTATTGCTCTCATTGAATAAGGAATGCCCCAAAGAGACGTAGCATAGATTTTTTTTTTAGAATTTAGAATGAGTGGGAGGGGGGTTAATCACTGCGACCTTACAGATCCATTGTGTCCCCCTTTCTTGAGTCATAACTCATCATACAGTCCCAGGGCTTTGACAAAAGCCAGTATCTGGGACGGTTTTATAGAGGGTAGTTCTCCATCTCCAATATCAGTCGTACCAAAATTCATGGCACGAATGGTTGTCGTCTCGGCGCACTCAGTGATGAGGTGTACTGGTGTTTCCCCATCTTCCCCACAGAATCTGCATTCGCCGTTTCTTCTTAGTTTCAATCTACTGAGGTGTTCATTGAGGAGACAGTGTCCTGTTAAAAACCCCGTGACAATCCGAAGATTGTTCTTACTCAGACCCAGGAAGATCTGTAATTTTTCTTGATCATAAGCCCTCAGAAACTTCTTCGAGTGTCTTAGACCATTGCAAGATTTCCATTCCAGGTTGCGGATGGAATCTTCCAAGTTCTTGAGTTCCGCCTTGAGTTGGTTACCACTTGGAAAGCAGAACGGTTCTGGTCCAGTTAGTGGAGTGTTAGCTCCTTTCCTAGCTAGATTATTTGCTTTTTCATTGCCTTCTATCCCTTGGTGAGCAGGCACCCAGAGTAGGAGGACTTTGTTTTCTTTGCCTAATTTATTCAGCTTCTCTATGCATTCTTTGACCAATTTCGAATTGATCGATACTGAGTTGATCGCTTTTAACGCTGCTTGACTATCAGACAAGATGGCTGTTTCTTGTTTCCGATAGTTGCTATCTAAGATAAGTTGTACGCATCTTTCGATAGCGTAGATTTCTGCCTGTAGGATACTAGGGTAAGTGCCCATTGGTTCGGAGTATTTAGCTCTCGGTCCAAACACTCCGATCCCTGTTCCCGTATTGGTTTTGGAAGCATCAGTATACCAAGTTATGGTATGGTCTTTTAACTGCTGGCAAGCGTTTTGCTCTTCCAATCCTTTTTATTGCCCAATACTACATTGAGATGTTTCTCAAAGTTGTAGGTTCTTGGCATATCGTCCACTGGGAGTTGCAGGAGTGGTATTTCCTTTATGAGGGTGTTCCAAGCCCCTGATCTGACAATTCTCCCAGTACTAATTCCGTTAGTGACCATTCTAATCATTGTCGCATTGGCATATATGCAATGACAATGTGCAGTGGTGTTAGATCTAGAATGACCTCCATTGCTGCTGTTGGACAGGTTCTCATGGCTCCTGTGATGCAAACGCATGCTAGTCTCTGGACTTTGCATATGTTTAGCCTTGCCGTCCGTTGCTCTAGTTTTGTGTACCAGGCAACTGCTCCATAAGTAATCATGGGTCTTACTATCATGGTATACATCCAGCGCAAAATGTTAGGGGAGCAGCCCCATCTATTTCCGGCCAGTTTTCTGCATATCATGAGAGCCTTTATGGCTTTGCTGGTAGTGTTCTTAATATGCCTGTTCCACAGGAGTTTACTGTCCAGGGTTATTCCCAGGTATTTAACTTCCTGTGTTGGCAGTATTTCCTTTCCATCTAGTTGGATTCTTTTCAAGTTTTTCAGACTTCGCTTTCTGGTGAATGGCACTATCGCGGTTTTGACTGAGTTGATACTGAGCCCGACAGTTCTACACCATCTCTCAGTGATACGGAGTCCTCTTTGGATAATATCACACAAGGTGCCTTCATGTTTCCCCCGAGCGATCATAACTATGTCATCTGCATACCCAATGCAGTGTATTCCCGCTAGAGTTAATTCGTCTAGTAGTTCATCCACCACCAAGCTCTACAGCAAAGGTGAGGTTACTCCACCTTGTGGAGTTCCTTGCGTTGTTTTAACAGCTACAGTTTTCGTGCCCATCTGAGCCTCTGACGTAGCAGAGATAGAGTTACCCAGAGTGTTTCATCGAAACATATGCAAGGTACTTGGAACTAGGAACTCTCAAGAAGAGGCCTAGATAAAGTCGTCAAAGAGTCACAACTGAACAACAAGACCGCTTTGTGTGCCAAATTGCTAGAAGAAATCCCAATGTTTCTCAACCAGAGCTACAAAGACAACTAAGGGCAACTACAGGTGTGAACGTTTTAGTTGAAACCATAAGAAAAAGGATTTGTACTCGAGGGTTGTACAGTAGGAGAGAGTTACGGGTCCCACATTTATCTTGACAAAATAAAATTGACCGGCTAAATTGGTGCCTTCAACATCAAAACTACACAATTGAGAATTGACAAAATGTTAAGACTAAGATCAGATTCCCATCGAATTCGGGTTCTCAGAGCTCCAGGAAGACGAGCGAGATTCCAGGTTGCCAAATCTGTACCAAGACATAAAGGAGGAACTGTAATGTTCTGGAGAGGTTTTATGCTGGGAGCAAAAACTCTATTGTTACCACTTCAACAAGCTTTAACGGGTCGGGTCCATGTTGATTTAGTGCTAGAACCAATAATTAGGCTTTGGAGAGCTGCAATTGGGGATACATTCAACTTCATGCACGATAGTGCACCTCCCCATACCGGTCCAGTGACTAGAGAACGTCTTGAAACCGAAGGTGTCATAGTTTTGGACTGGCCTGCATGTTCACCAGATTTAAACCCTATCGAGCACTTGTGGGAAGAAGGCTTAAAGCTCATCGAAATAACCCAGGAAATCTCTTATTGATACAACATTAGCAGAATTGGAAATCATGCCCCAGGACAACGTTGATCATTTAATAAGAACCATGCTAGCGCGGATAGAAGCTTGCATAAGGGCTAGAGGTGGCAACACAGATTGTTAAAATTATCAATTTTGCTTTTTAATCATTAAAAATTTAAATCTCATTTCGTTTCAGAATCCAAAAAAACCATTGTGTTTATTTTGGGAACTAAGTAGTTTTGTTTATTGATATATGGATTATTTTTCTTTAAAAGTCTTTGGTAAGGACTGAGTTTTACTCATAAACACAAAATACCATACGTTTCAAAAATTATGAAAAATAATAGATGATTCCACATAAGTTTGGTTGTGTATATTAACTTTAATAACTAATAACATTTACTGACTTTATGTAAATCAAAACCAGCAAAAAAAATTGAGTGTATCATAATTTATATTTTAATACGTTTTTAATAAAATTAGAAGCCACTAATAATCCGGAATTCTTAGTTTTTATAATCAAAAGTAAGATTTTATGGCATTTAATAAAAACAGTAACAAATCTTATTCCTTACCAAAAATAGCTGTAGCGTCTGTAGCGAATTAGTAGATATAGTCTGTAAAACGAATAACTTTGAATTTGACAGTTCCCGCGGGCTTTTCTAGTGTTAATTTTATTAGGTTAGCAACTTGCGACCATGCTGACGCAATGCCGTCTCTAATAGAACAGCCTGGGAGCGAGATTTATGACGTCACGCTAGTTAGATACTACGGATTAATAAATATGTTGTAGAATACATAGAAAACATAATTATTCCTCGTATTTTTGGTTTGTATTTTAAAAATTATATAGTTTACATGAAATATACATAATATACAGTTAATAAATATAATATATATACCTATTTATAGTAATAAATACTTTGACAGATAAACTATGAACCATACTAATGCAGCAAATGTTTTACAATATGGCTGAAATAGTACTCCATAGTCAATGTGGATAGTTTTTGTGTTAAGAATAATAATTTAAAAAAATATGTGGTCATCTTTTGACAAGTTTATATTAGTTTATTAATTGCAGTAAACATTATAATATATAAATAAATTTTGTGAATGCAAATAATAATACCATCAAAGTCTACCATCATATTACACATCACTATTAGTAGATATTGAATGTTTCTTGTTAAATTAGATTCCACATAAGTTTGGTTGTGTATATTAACTTTAATAACTAATAACATTTACTGACTTTATGTAAATCAAAACCAGCAAAAAAAAATGAGTTTATCATAATTTATATTTTAATACGTTTTTAATAAAATTAGAAGCCACTAATAATCCGGAATTCTTAGTTTTTATAATCAAAAATAAGATTTTATGGCATTTAATAAAAACAGTAACAAATCTTATTCCTTACCAAAAATAGCTGTAGCGTCTGTAGCGAATTAGTAGATATAGTCTGTAAAACGAATAACTTTGAATTTGACAGTTCCGCGGGCTTTTCTAGTGTTAATTTTATTAGGTTAGCAACTTGCGACCATGCTGACGCAATGCCGTCTCTAATAGAACAGCCTGGGAGCGAGATTTATGACGTCACGCTAGTTAGATACTACGGATTAATAAATATGTTGTAGAATACATAGAAAACATAATTATTCCTCGTATTTTTGGTTTGTATTTTAAAAATGATATAGTTTACATGAAATATACATAATATACAGTTAATAAATATAATATATATATACCTATTTATAGTAATAAATACTTTGACAGATAAACTATGAACCATACTAATGCAGCAAATGTTTTACAATATGGCTGAAATAG